TTACCCAAAATTGTACATAGGCGATTAAACATACTTTATTGCACTGAGCTAGATAAGTTGGATAGGCAGTTGGTTAACTAGTTAAATAACCTGAATCTTAGAATTTATAATCAATAGCATAGCTATTGTTATCTGTCCATAAAGAGAAATGCTTTATTTATGAGTATTTAATTTGATTCAATTAATTTATTCTCTAACAAAAGCCAAGATATTATCTACAAGAACTCGGGAATAGAATCAACCCTCCTTAATATGACTCAGTAAATATGCAATAAAAAATTAATATGCTCGCCTATTTTTGTATTCAACACTTTCGTGTAATTCCCGGAAACTGGCATTCAATCATTAACTTCGTATCACGCTGGCCCAATCAACAGCAAGGTTTGGCTTCTATTTATATTTGTCATTTGTATTCCGCCCCCATTTCTAGTGTATTCACCACCGGGAACAAGAGGCCCAAACCATGGATTTCCGGCCGAAAGAAACTCATATCAGTGTCGTCATCGGAACGGCAAACCAATCAAACATCAAACAGTATTCCATCATTGTCAGCAGCAGCAGCTACTACGACAATATATGGCTATATATTCGGTCCAGAAACAATGATGACCCAGAGATAGATGGAAAAATGGGTGGGACGTGGGTGAAACATTTATGAGTTCATGGGACATAATGTTAAATATTCAAAGAGCAAATTTTGATGCATCCATTGGGCAACTGGCATTCGTTGATGGACCCATTTTTGCCGCTGCGGAACTACAGTTTGCGGCTCATGAATTTCGTTGTCAGTGGCCAACGTTTCACTCTCCGTGGAAGGCTCAAACTCCTAGCCACTTTGAACAATAGCACTGCAATTTATGCCGCACAATTTGTACTTCCCTACACTGAGAAAATTACACCAAAAAGGGGTTACAAAATACGACATCAAGGAGATAAATTCGCTCGTAAAATTGATAAGCAAGTACTATTGGAAAACAATGAGAAATACATACATACTTGCTGACATCTTGAATACAATTTATATATTTCTTCCCCTGCATGTTTCCTCTTATTTCCATTGAATGCATCAAGTTTTTCGATTTGAAAACTATGTGCATGGGACTTTCGATTGGCAGATGCCTGATTGCCCGATTGCCAAATTCAACTAGAGTGAAATCACTTGTGCACGCTCGCGTTATTGACGCACATCCATCAGATTCACAAAGTATACGATATGCATTCGCCCACTTAAGTGCATTATATATAACTCGGGGTGTGGGCAATGAAGCTGAACAAGCCTCTAGTTTATCTATGGAAAATACACATTTAAATCTGAATTCGAATCGATTTTGGTCGTCTGGCATTTGAAGGCGAGAGGGGAGAGAAAGGGGAGCTGGTCGCTTTGGTCAACCCCTATCAACAAGTCTTCGGTCTACAGCTCTTGAGCCACAAAATCCCTTGGTTTGGGTTCGCTTCGAGCTGGAATAATATGTGTAAAGGGGGAATTTCAAATCAAGAAGTAGGAATCACAATCACCATTCAACTGAGACATCAGCATTGTCGTCGCTGTTATTTTTATGCAAATATTACGCATGTGTCGCTTAAATCAGACTAAGTGGGTGCAAAAAAGGTAGCAAAGGGGGATTTGCATTTCCATAAATAAAATTATCACATTAAACTAGATTCAAGCATACCGTTTTTGGAACTTTTCTTAACTGGGTTATAATCAATAAATGAAAATTGATTGTTAAATATCAATACGTTTTTACAGGTCATTTTCTAGTCTTCTCTTCCATGACAAACAATAATTCACAATTCAAAGAACACCAACAATAAACACACCCCTTTTGGTGTAATTTCAATTTTTAACGGAAGTACCACCCACTTGAATTTGAAGAATGTGTTTGCATTCCTGATGAAAAGCTAAACCAGTTAAAATGTCAAGAATTTTTTGAATTTCTGGTTTGAATAAACATGCTGATATGGCTTTGTAAAACTAATGATGTGCAATTTCAAATGATATGTGTTCTATAATTCCTTTTTTTCAAATGTTTTTTTTTATTCAACCTAATTGAATGGAAATGCTTTTTGATTCGACACAAATTTGCATATCAAGCCGCTTAATTTGATTTCAGGATCACGTGATGTGTGTAATGGGCCTTTACACATGCAAACCGGTCATAATTTAGGGCACAAGTTTGCCCTCTGCCACCATGGCGAGGTCATATCGCTGGCGTCTTAAATAAATTAGCTTTGGTTATTGGCTGGGCAAAGAACATTCGGTGGCCTCGAGTGCCGTTTAGCATAATAATATTAGGCGGCCCAAATTGAAACAAACACAGCAAATGTCTAATTACATTTGGTTTGCCAGAGATGATGAGGGAAATTCTGCTTAAAAAATTAAGCTGCAGCTTTTTAAGTAAGCCAAGAAAATCAGTCATTGAATATTAATGATAGTCGGAAGAAAATGGGGTGACCACTAAAGTATAATTTGGGAATTTACTAAAGAAGATTTTACTGGTTTCCCATATTAATTAATTTCTTCAGTTTATTTTCCATACTTGCATTCTACTTAAATAAAGTTTGGGCAAATTGGAGCAGGCTATAAAAACCAAAGTAGTTCACTCAAAAAGCCATAGTCTGCACCTAGGGACTTTCACCCACTTGCAAAGCAAACAAAAAATAATGTGAGATGGCCTGAAACTTTCCCCAACAATGGTCAATGTCCCAAGATTCCCCAAAGTGACGTCGGGAAAAGGGAAAAATCAGTTTCCCTTATTTTCTTTAGCTCGACTTTCCATTTGTTTTCGCTCAAGTTTTGGGCTTTGCCTGTGTCTTGGCTGCTGTGTTTTTTCCTGAAGCTTTTACTGTTCAGCTTGTTTGTTTTTGCTTACACTTATCAAAATATTGGGCGTACACATATTGTTTCGCCTGGCTGTCTGCAACGGGCTCAAAGATATTGGAGTTGGGTCAACAGGAGAGCTCCGAACCTGACCCTCAGGTCCTTCCAACTCCCACTTCGTTTGCTCTTGGCCAACACAGAAACAAAGGGAGATAACAACTTAAAGAGGGAAAGTGGATGCTCTTAAAACAATAGGAATATGTTGGCGTATTTGTTAGCATACAAATCAAAAAGTGGTACAGGAAAACGTTTAAAATATTACAATAAGGTAGTGATATTATTGTTTAAAGTTAATTTATTTGTAAATAAATAAAAGAATAAATTTAAAGTCTTACGAGTAGTTTTCAAAATGAATCAAAGGAAGTTGAGAAGATATATTTGGCATAAGGGATTTAATAAACAAAAAAGTCACTTAGTAATGTTTAATTCTAAACTACTTATTTAATAAATAAAGTTACTAGTGGTATCCTAAAGATATTACAATACCCTTAACCAAGAATATTAAGACAGTAAAGAGGAACAATAGAAAAAGGAGATTGAGATGGGGAGCGATACACAAAAAATTATCTTCCATGCCACATTCTGTTGAATTTTTCAGCACGTGCGTGTGTGTGCGACTGCCGTAACTTTCACTTTGTTGTCCGGGTTCACCACCCACTTTCTGCCGCCCCCCCCCAAACGACCTTACCCCCTCCCCCTCTGTACTTTATTTGCCCAGTTTGCCGCTGCTTAAGTTACTTTTTCTTTACGCTTGAATTTCCTTTTGCCGCTTCCTTAGCCTTTTGGTTTTTCCTCGAGATTCAGCTTGTGTCGCTTGCCTTTTGCCGCTTTCCCGCTTTTCGGGGTTTTCCCCCTTTTGCTATCGCCTTTTCGTTTTTCCTTAGCTCAGCAGCTCATTTTCCATGGAGCATGTGTGCGTGATTTTTTGTTTCCTCGCAACGCTTTGTTTCTGTATTTCTGTACGAGTATTTCCTTCGTCTGTTATTTTCATAAATAAATTTGCATGTCAAATGACATTGTTTATGGTATTCCTATATGAAAGACATATATCACTTGGCCAGATGGAAATGTTGTGCCCTCATCAGTTGAGTTTTATGTGGGTGGGTGTGCGCATCACACGTTGTTGACATCTTTGTTAAAATATGTTTACAAGCTCGAATTAGTAACGCAGAGTTTGCCATCCTCTATGTGAGCGTATGATATATATAATGTGTATATCTGTGTCTCCGACTTTGTCTGTCTGGCTGTCAAAGTCGACAAGCGAAATGAATTCGTAATTGAGTTTTCCGATATGAATTCCGAGATGGAATCCTCGACTGACGCAGCCGCTCATATTTAATTTGAATAAGAAATTAGCAACTTTTTCATTTTCAGCTGGAACATTTTTCTCTTTCGTTTATTTTAAGTGGGCTTAATTTTGCAGTAAATACTATTTGGCTCTTTAAAGTATGAAATAGTCATGCTGCTCTATTTATTGAAGGCGTCATTCTGCCGGCGGTTTTTCCCCATCCGGCTCAAAGTTTCACCAGGCCGTAATTATTTCAGCGTTCTTATCAACGAGGCAACAAAACAGCCATAATTATTGGGGATAAGTCAAGCGCAGCACATTTGTTGCCTCTGTTCCGGATCCCCAATAAAAATGCCTTCCTGATTAGCCTGCTCAGCATGTGCCGTGAACTTCTCCTATCTTTCCAACTTGGCTCGGGCCAATCTGCTCCCAGCCCAGGAAAACTGAAGAAATTTATAATATATCGCTAAGCCAACAAAGGGGATGGCTCATAAGCCCAATAGAGAGTGGGATGTGGGGCCAAAGAAATTATGTCACAGCTTACCCAGATTTTGTTGAATACTTGGATGGGAAAAAGGATGAAGAAGTCGAGATAAAAACAGGACGGATTGCTTGAAAAATATTGCTTCGATTGTATGCTATCGGAATGAAGAGTTATAAATTAAAAGCTACTTGAAGAAGATTGTAACCAAAATTCACTAATTCCAAGTTCATAACTTTTCCAATTTTATTCCGATTTTGAAGTGGCATACCTCTAAACGTTTGTATTTTAACAAACTGCATCGCTAGAGTTTTTTTTATTATTTTTTGGCCAATTTTTTGCCATCTAAATTAAAAGGTTCTATACACCACAGAGGCTTTATATATTTTGGGTTGCTTACAAATTATGAAATTTCATGAAAACATGTACAACAACATCTAATACAGTCGATGAGAAAGTCCCATTGATGATTTTATATGAAGTGAGCGCACATTCTGCCAGTGCTCCTTCAGCAAAGGAACGAGAAAATTAATTGATATGATTATGTTGTGGGTCAGTTTCTCAGCCTTCATGCCAGCATGGCCAACGTTAACGGAGAGACAGGCCATCTTCCTCATCAGTATCTTCTTGGTAGATAGTATCTTGATTTTGCTCATCATCGATTCCTTGTGAGTCAAACGAGTTAGAAACTTGCCGGCTTTGATAAGAACAGAAGCCAGTTGCTTTGGGATCAGTTTAATTATCGACTCGGAAGCCAAAAAGAAGTCATATGATTTGGCCATTTTCCTCACTAATTTCTGATCTTTGTTGAGTTTCTTAAGGGCCTCCACATCCCAGCAATCAATACCAATGGCCTTGGCTTCACGACAATGCTTTAGATCTCCAAGAACACACACCTTCAATTGGGGAACTGCGAGGTGTTGTAGTAAAGTACTTCCATAAAATGTCTTCCACTTTTCGGGATCGTAATCGTTGAGTCCGATTTGCAGTTCAACGGTTTCAAGACAGTGAAGTTCCTTGGCCTGAGAGTCCTGCAGGATGTTTTCGACTGCCTTAAATAGAGCATCACGAGACACTTTTGAAAACATAATTTATATTTATTTAAAAATTTTGGGGAGAGTTTGCTAACACGTTTTGTTGGCACGAAATTTAAAAGTAATTGAGCTACGGTTAATATAAAAATCTTGACATTAAAGTAAGGGGTATGTAAGAAAAATAAAATAAATAAAACCAAAACGAACTGAACTATTTAGGTACTTGATTAAAACTCCCTATTCGCTCGGCGCCATTTCTCTGATGTCATAAACTTCTATTGCCATTATGGTGCCTGGCCGGGCATAATTGATTGACCAAAACTGCAATCCATTTCCAAGCCTGGAGCGGCAGTTCGCTTCGCCTCTGGCCGAATTTCGAATTCCAAATGGCCCACGCCAGATCCCAAAAGCCACTTTCCACTCGGAATTGAGCAGCTCAGTTGGTTGAGTTCAGCAGTTCAGGTTAGTTCGGTGCAGGTTTGCGGGGCTCGGTTTCCTTCGGATGGGCTCACATCCGCTGAGTTTTCCACTAATTAGGGGAGTGCTTCCCTCAGGTTTTCGGGGGACAGGCAACACTTTTGCAGGCAACTCGGCAGCATTTGCCGTCCCGGGTCAAAATACAGCTGGAAATGCAGAAAGCCCGGCTTCTGGCTTGTGTGTAATTATAAGCGAAATTATAAGCTGTGGCAGTACACCGAGTGCAGCGGAGATTAACGTGGAAATTGCAATTCTGGCTTCTGGTTTCTGCCCGCTGTCTGTCCTGATCAAGATCCTTGTAGCGGGAGGATGTCCACGGACATCACGGCGACGATGAGGATTTGTTGCCTGCCACTGCTAATTTACACATTTTGATTGCTCCCAACTGGCGGTGGGAATCACCTTTTCGCACAATCCCCACTCAGCCGGCCTGTCGTCTCCGCCGATAACATTATGCGGCATTTTTCTACAGCTTAATGCATAATTTGCGTCCTGGGAATAACGACAAACCAGCAGAAGTAGGTCACTGGAAGAAAAAATTAAAATAAAATAACTTATAGATAAGTTAACAAGCGGAGAAGAAAATGTAAGTTTTAACACAAGAACAAATGTGGCAGGACTAAATTAGGTACTTGTTTTAATACTTTAAAAATGTGTTATCAGTTCGTGTTTCTCAGTGCATCCGTTTCTTGAGCGAAGTAGAAGATTTTCCGGGGTGGCAATGGGCGAGTTCTTTAGAAGTACTTACTGCCGTAAGATTATTTCACGTTGAGCTGCTTATTGGGCGGCATTTTCGGGATTTGACTTTGGCACGGCGCCTTCTGCTTCCACGCTGGCTTGTCCTTTATTCAGTATTTATCAAGATTCCGCTACTATATCCGGGCTCCAATTGAATTGTCATCGAAGTGGGTGCATTAAGCCTGGAAACAGCTTTTGTTGGCTGTACATTTTAGTTAATACAACTGCGATACGAGAGGTTAAAAAGAAAAAAAAAATGTGCAAGTTTATTTTATTAGATGATTAGCATTGTAATCTTTAAGTGTTTATTTACTTATAATGTACTTTGGTTGTGGAAATTTAATGAAGTGGCAAACTTTGAGGTACTTCCCCAAAAGTTCTTTCATATTTGCCATTTTGCCATTCAACTGCCATTTGGTCGACCCTCCCACAAGCCATCTCACAACTCACAAACGTGAAATGTCCTCCATGCTCGCAGTTGATCTGCAAATGCCGAAACGTTCAATGGCCCTCCTGGACTATAATATATCGAATATATGTGTGCGGATATATCCGGCTGGCCAAAGACATTGCCGGAGTTTTTCGCATTTTTGCACTTTCAGGGCAAACCTTTTTCTAATAGCAAATGTCAATTTATTTGGGGCAGAGGGAAAAAACTAATAAGCAAATACTTGGCATAATTTGGTCCGAGGCCAGCAGACTTTAACACGCCAGGGGACACGGACTTTTGGGCTCGGACCACTGACGTAATCAAATCGGCAATCAGTAAGAGATATATATGCGCATCAATGTGCCCGAAGGGTTGGGCTTTACCCTCCATATCCTTCCGATATCATTCTCCATAGCCTCCCCTCTTTTTTTTTTACTCCCTATATCCCCCTATATATACATATATCGGCATCCGATGGCGATGGCAAACATTTCGGGCTCAGGAAGGGACTCACTCACTGGCCACCTCGCCTGCAGCTGAATCTTTTTTTGAACTGTCCCTAACAGTGCGTAAATTGCCATTTTCAAATACATTTCAATCCGCATACACATATCTGAATATCTGAATGTATATTCCGAGATTTTTGTGTGAGGGGACGACAAAAGTTTAAATACTCTTGCGGGCCAGTTTCAAACCGGCCAAATGGTCGTCGAATGTTTTGCATTGCAAATCGATAAAGGGAATTAGTTTTACGGCAGTTAAACGCGTGGGTTGTAAATAAAGATGATTTTGGGTTTTCAGATGATATTCAAAAAGGGGGAATAACAAAAAAGGGGTGCATATTGAGTTCACCGAATAGTTCTTTATTGAATTTCGTTTTGAAGATACCAAATTTGCCTTAAAGATTTTCTTATATTTCTAGAATATGATTCATTTATTTTATTCATCTTCAGTTAGCGCATTGCAACGTCGTTAAATATTTATGGAAAATCTTTATGATTATGGCTAGAATACGCTTTACAGATGATCCTTCTCGTTGAAGGCGATTTTATTGCTTTTGATTCCTGACCTTTCCCCCGCCAATCGGCTTCGAATGGCGACTGCTGGCGGTTCTCGCATTGCGCATACGCCCCGCTGTCCCGTCCTTGTAATGCGAGTGCCAAACAAAAACTTCAATTGTCAACTGCTGTCGCCTGATTCTCGCTTTTGTTTGTTGCTGCCACTGCTGTTCGGTTGCGTCCTGTTATTGCTCTGTCATTTTATCGCCGGCGGAGACTGTCTTTTATCTCAGCACGCGTCCCGAACTATGCAAAGCATTTTCCACACCACCCCAAATCCCCCAACCGATTGTCCCTCGTCTCGGAGGCACGTGCCTGAAATGTCAGCGCCGCTCTTCACACCCACACATGGTCACGCCCGGAAAAGTGTACCACTAAATACCAGAGTTGGTGGAGAAAGTTACGGAAATCATAATGGAATTCTATGGCAATTTTATGATTTTTTTGACTGCATACTCTGGTTGGGAATAACTTTATTCTTACACTCCAATGCATTAACAAGAAAATGCGAGGTGAGCTTAATAATTAAAGAACAAATAATAACAGATGTATCATCATCTGGTGTTATTATTTCTATACAAAAGTGGTTCTTATATTCTCTAGTTTGCTTTTATCCAAACATTGCTAGCTTTTACGATCCTTTCATCACGGTGATAGTTACCGTAATCCCCAAAAACAAAAAGCAGCTTTCCATCCGATACTTGTGCTATTTTTCCACATCCACCATTTCCACTGGATAAAGGGCTCCCCCATTATGTTTTATAATCATTTTACAACCGGTGTGATATTTAGAATACGACCGAAAGTTGCTTCATCGTTTCTGTTTTAGGGGAAAGTTTGGCCATGGCCACAGAATACCTCAGCTGCTGCCCCGCCCCCTTTGGCTCCTATACCTCCCCCCGCCCGCCGAGTGTTGTTTTTAGTTGCTGGAGTGGGCGGTGGATGGGTGGCAAAAGTTGGTAGCATCGCCACATGGCAAATGTGTTTGGTTGCCGTTGGTGCTGTTGTTTTCGTTTTTGTTCCTGTTTTCTTTTTTTTTATAGTGCCGGCCATAAAGTACTTAAAAGTTTCATTTTACGCCTATTTTGCTGGACGAGGGCCCCATTATCAGAGAGCGGGAGCCACCAAGTGACCAACTGACCTGGCCAGAACTCACCAGATTTCCCTGCGCGCCGCTGGCTGGCAAAAATCCAATTTGCCAACATTTTAACAATCATTGCCGTCGGGCACTTCACCAACTCATATTGTGGCCATCCACTTTTAATTGCTTGCCTAAACAAATAATATTTGAGTAGCATATTTCCGGAGGTTTGGGTGCGGGCACACACGGAAAACAACAATTAATTCGATTCGGTTTGCCAATATTTCATGAGCAATGCCATAAAACATTTTATAGTCACTTTCGAAATGTTATGAATATTTATAAGATTTTCTGTATTTTATTATCTGTCGTAAGATATCGAAACTATATTTTTCTTGTCTTAAATATATTATACATACTATATATATTTTTTCGAGTGCACCAAAGCTGGGCAGATGCGTAAAGTGGATTTAAGGCAAAAGGTCAAGGGAAAGGGCCAAGACGCCGGGCAATTGGGAGGTAATTGCTCGTCAGCTCGTCGAGAGCTCCAAACTTGAACTCGTCCTCCCACGGAGAAAGTTGTGCCTATCAATATGCCAGCCTGATGAATGCCATCATCATCATCTTGGCTCCTCCGCTTGTAGTAAAAATTTTAATAACTGTATTCTGCAGAGGACATTCAATGTCCTGAGCCAGCTTGTTTATATTTCCTTTCGCGGCCACTCTGCACCAAAGTTTTTTAACAATTTATTTTTATTTTAGATACATTTTTTCTGCAGCTCCCTCGGTTTTGCCTTTTGCCGTTTGCCGTTTGCTCCACTTAAACACAAAACGTCTGCCCGCCTGCTAATGGCTTTTCAGCCCGGGAAAAATGGTCGAGGAAAAAAGGGGGCGGGGTTCGGTTTGGTTTGGCGGTTCTCGTAAACTATGAGTGCCCCTGGCCTGAGTGGTCCAGAACGGAAAAGCGAAAAACTGATAGCTGGAAATTCTTGGGCTCTTTTGGCGCGCATCTGATCAATGCAAAGCCCCCTGCACTTGGTCACTTAAAAATTGTAAGGCAAATTTATCATGATTATGAAAAAGTTGGAAGAGCACGGAGATGGTCAAAGAAATCTTTAAAACGTAATTGGTCTAGGGAAGAACATGATTAGTCGGTAGCCTTAGAGAATCTAAGTGAAGAGAAAGTTACTCAAATAATAAGCAAATGTTAATTGGGCTGAAAAAGAGCTTAAACATTTCATAACCAAAAATGCATGTTCAAATAGTTTTACCGGTTTTGTAAAACTAAAACTGAGAACTCATAAACGTGGCTCCGCAAAATGGCAAACATTTGTGGCCGAC